CGATTTAAATTAAATTATCATCACTACCAATCCTAAATTTTATGATGTTCCGTCTTAGTGTGCAACCCTATTTCCTATCTATATCTCTTACAAAAACCACACAAGTAAAAGAATGAACATGAGGGATAAGATTCAAGACCAAGGGACATAGCATTGCATATGCCATGCCTTAACAAGACACAATGTCGAAGGCCAACATTCACTCTTGAAAGTGATTTAGCACCATGTAGGATGCCATTATATGACAACTAAAATTTTAAATCAATCCATACCTCTTTTAAAAGACCTATTTCATTTCACAAGTCCACTTATATGCACTTCACATAGTACATGTTTGATCTTGTTAACCAGCTTAACAAGAAGCATTATTTTAGATCGAGAAAGAAGAAGATGAAACAAATGATAGGGAATTTAATTCATTTTTTGATCTAGTTCGGGGTTAATAGGGTGGGGCAATGAAGTCCTTTTCCATCTTTGTTAAAAATCTTAATGTTTTTTTAATATTAAAATAAATTTAAATTTTTTTTTATTTCGATAGTTTATCGTGACACTTAAGATCCATATAGTCATGTGTTAACTCGATTGGTTATTGTTAGATTTAACTTGTCATGTAGGATGAAAAATTAATGACATTATAACGAAGGGTCTAAATAAATAAATTTGTAAGAATAGAGGGTTTTAATCAAACTAAAAAATTATAGAAGGCCTCAATAAAAAAAAATTGAATTTACAAAATCTCAATGTGGGGTAAATCCAATAATAATATATTTGCTCTTTTAAAGTATTCAAACTTTATCTCTTTAAATAATGATATAATCATTTTTCTAAAGAGTTCTATTAGATTGATACTATGAGATATAATATTAATATAAAATAAATAAATAATAACTATATGACAAAAAAAATTATAACTATCATGGTGCAATAAAAATTATAAGATGTCATGACCTCGAGAGTAAGCCATGATCAGTGTGGGAATCAAGGAAACTATGAGGCCCTTCTCAACTCAAGCAAGCCTTGAATACTAATAAAAAATTCTCAAATATCATTTCATCTTACAACATTCTTAGTTAACATTCATCATATTATATTTCTAACATAAATCATAATTTAATGGTATCCTTGCATTTCTCAAGCAATATTCATAATTAATTCTTAATATAATACCTATAAGCAATAAGAGCTTCTAAGAATACAATAAACTATAGCATAGGTTCTAAGAAATTTACAAGGAAATAAGTTGCACGATCAATATGTCGACTTCAAATAAGCAATCGAATGGAAGCAAAAGGGTAGTCCTTCAATATCCTACAAAACCGATATAATGAGGGGTGAGCAATCGGTAGCTCAATAAGTAAACGTTAGAACATAATACGGAAAAAAAAATAGACTAAGGATTATTTAATTAAAACTCAAATCAAGATGCAATGTTTATTTCTCTAAAACAATGTACATCATAAACTAAATCATTCATCATAAATTTAAATGATTCGAAACTATTTTATGTCAAATCATCATCATCATCATCATATATATATATATATCAAAACACATATTTAGGTTTTTTATACACCCATAGGGATAAAAAACGTATCACCGGATGCGAACATCCAAAGGTTACACCTCTCATGACTAGGTTTTCATTTGTTAGCCAACACTTGAACTAGTACTCTACCTCTCCTACTAGCTGGAGCCTCATATCGTTGAGCTCAAAAGCTATGCCCCCGTAGCTAGGTTCCCTAGGGTCTTGAAAATATTTCAAAAATCATATAACTCGTACTTATTTTTAAAAATTGTATTTCAAACACAATACTCGCTCAAAATTTACCCGATAGTATATTTCAATATTAAATAAGCATTTATGAAAAATATATGAATAATCAATATAACAATTATAACACATTCATGTTTAAATTCAAAATCACCTACCAAATCTAATAACATTAACACATTCATATTTAAATTCAAAATCACATACCAAATCCAATAACATATTTTTTCAAACACATATTTAAATTCCTTTTCAATTCATATCCAATCATTTTTTATATGAAATCATTTCAAATATTCATGGAGTCAGTTTCCATTTAAGTTCCTATGGAATGCTTTTAAATTATACTTAAACCGATGATACATGATAAACATGATCAAAGGAATTTAAAACATAATATGCTATATAATATCCACTCATAGTACAATGGAGAATCGAATAACTTAAACGGATCAAGGTTGTTATAAAGGAGTCGCTCATTCCGAAGAATCTAATAACATAAGATGGTGAACTAACCATCAATATTCATATCAAAGAATAATTCAAAACAAATGAATTATTCTAGAAATAGAAATTCAAGATTATCAAATAAAAATGAAATTGATCGAAAGGACTCAAACCGATAACTTTACCTAAATGTTATAATCTCTCTAACAATTCTTTGCAATTACCTAACCATATTCCATCATCGATCCTCAATTCATTCAACTTTTACACAATCAATTTTTAATTAACTCATCCATTCCATTCTAATGCACTCAATCCTTAATCCATTCATCTTTAATTGTATTTATATAGCTCAATTTCTCATTTTCTCCAAATTATTTTCAATTCAAAACCCAATTTTGGATTTTTCATTATTCATCATTTTCAACCTCCTAATTACACAAATTTACTCAATTCCACTCCAACTTAACTTCATAAACTACTTATCCAAGATAATTAAACATCATTCAAATACTTAGAATCACTTAATCAAGTTTTTCCCTAATGGGTCTCAAAAACTCAAACTTTAATCTAATCAATTCTTCAAGCAAATCATAATCCAATGTAATTCTATTTCAATATCATCATTAACTATATATAAACATCTTAATTGAAAATCAATTGATAAAAAATCTTACCTTTGATATTTTGCTCTTCAATCCCCAATTTCTTCCTAGTTCTCCAAGTTTTTTAAGCTCCAATCTAACTAAGCTTTACTTAATTAACTAAATTATGGTTCTCCTAAGCTAATTTAACAAGGAATTAGCTTAGGAATCAAAGAAGGAAATTAGGAGAAAATGGGAAAGAAAATGGCATGAGAGATGAGGAGAAAAGAGAAAGAAAATTCGGAAAGGGGCAACTGTTGCCCCTTTTATACCAACCTTTTTTTTAAACATAAAACTTCTTTATTTATCAATAGAAAAGCTAACAAAATATTAATTTCAATGATCATCATTAATCTAAAGATCTTTTCTTTCAAAATCTTTAAAAAAAATCAACAACTTCTAACCGTGTCAAATTACTAAAACCTTTAAAAGAAACATTGTCACAATCATTATTTTGATATATAAAATTTGTCTCTCTATTACTTTCTTTCTTTTCCAACTAGGTTTGATAAAGCTCAATAAGGTGTTTTGACGTATGATATGTATGCAATCAATGTCCTTTTATATCATATCTATAATATTCATTTTCGAAATGCCGACTTAATCCACTTTTATCCTTTTATTCATAGTTTATCCACTTCGGTGGTGAAAGTGTATTATTATGACCACCACGATTATAACGATAATTATTTCGATCATGACCACGTCTTTGTCCATGCCCAAAACTATTATAAGATGTCACATTCACTTTAAGGAATGGAGTAGATCCAACCGAGCAGGATTCATGATTTTTTATCAATAGCTCGTTATTTTGTTCGGCCACGAGTAAGCATGAAATCAATTCAAAGTATTTCTTAAATTTTTTTTTTATATCGTTGCTACAAGAGCATATTCAAGCATGAAAAGTAAAAAATGTTTTCTTTAACATATCCGAATCAATAATATTTTCTTCACACAATTTTAGTTGGAAACTAATTCTAAATACTACAAAATTATACTTACTTACTATTTTGAAATCTTGTAATCTTAAATGCATCTAATTATAACGAGATTTTGGAAAAATTTTCGTCTTTTGATGGTTGTACCTTTTTTCTAAATTTATTCACAATTCAAGTGGACATTTTACTCGTCAAATATTCAATTTTCAATCTTCGTAGAGATGATGGTGAAGGAAAATCATTACCTTAGGTCGATTTTACAAAGACTCTTGATTATCTATCATTTATTATTGTTTGTCCAAGACCATTATCATTAAATGTATCTCACCATTAAGCATTCATGATAAATAATTCTTGTCCGAAATGTCTAGGGTCATAAAATCAAGATTTGTGAGGTTTGACATAATAAAATTCTATAATATAAGATGTAATAGTAATATTACAAATAAGATCATAATAATAATAAAAAAAAAATCAAACTTTTTAAACATGCATTAGATCATTAGAATATATATATATATATATATACATATTTAAGTTTTTCAAACGTATACTATATGTATGATTAGATTTAAAATAAAGATAAATTAAATACATACTTCTTAATAGTCTGCATGATTTATGTTTTTTGATAGAACACTCATGTTGATAACATATTGTAAAAATAATAATAATGACAAAAATTGTTAAGATAATAGTAAAAGAGATATAAGAAAAGATAGAAAAATAATTTCAGTATGAAATAAAGTAAATAAAAGATATAACAAATCTAAACAATTCTCTTAATCTCTATAAAACACTTTATATCAAATTAATGGACAATCAAGTTCATTTATAAGTTTTAAAATAAAAAAATTAAAAAAACTATGAATAGTTAAAAAGTACATAAATAATTAAATCAATTAGATCAAATTCACCAAAATATAAAAAAAATATAAACATTTCTACACACATTTATTATTTCATAAGGGGTGTGTGAGGATATATATGTGGGATCGTTGTATTAATGTGACAGAGAGAGTTACCTGAAAGAGAAAATTTAGTATCTTCTTATTAAAAAAGGGAAAAAAAATGATTTGATCAAACGAACTCAGTAAAACTAGTGATATTAGTAAAGAACACAGCAGAACACTAGCAAAGCTCCGTCAAAAGGGAGGGAGAAAGGAAGAAGTCCAATCAAAATCCACCACAAAACTCATAATGGAACAATCCCCGCCACCCGCAAAGAGCTGGAGCATCCACACTCGATCTGAAATCATATCCAAATACGAAATCCAAGGACGAGTGGGTTCCGGCGCCTACTCCGACGTGTACAAAGCCAGGCGACTCTCCGACAATCTCACAGTGGCTCTCAAAGAAATCCACGACTACCAGTCTGCATATAGAGAAATCGAGGCACTACAGGTCCTCCAGAACTGCCCCAACGTCGTCGTTTTGCACGAGTATTTTTGGAGAGAAGACGAGGATGCTGTTCTTGTTTTGGAGTTCTTGAGGACTGATTTGGACGCTGTTATTAAGGAAGGGAAAAAGAGGGGTGATGGTGTTGGCGTTGGAGAAGTTAAGAGATGGATGGTTCAGATTTTATGTGGGGTTGATGCGTGTCATAGGAATATGATCGTGCATCGTGATTTGAAACCTACTAATTTGTTGATTTCTGATGATGGGGTTCTTAAGTTGGCTGATTTTGGCCAGGTAAAATAATGGGTTTCTTTTTTCCCTTTCTTTGATTGATGGCTGATGGGGATTATGGTAGTGTCTCTATTTGGTCTTGCTTTTTTAAAGAAATGTTTTAGATTGATTAGTATTTGTACCACTATCCATTTATGCATAAATATTGCTTTTAGCTAGTAAATTTTGAATCTTTGATGCTCTAGGTCTTTTGAATTGACTAAATTAGAGGCTGGATTAATCAGTTTGCATGGTCTTCGATGCATTTTATTAGATCATTTGAGATCGTTGCATTCTTTTTGCTTTTGACTCTGCTTTCACATTTCTTCATGTTTCCGTGAGATTGATGCTCTGTGTGAATGTTGATATAGTGATGATGTCAAGGTCTTTTCTCTGTAGTTTTAGTAGTGAAATGTTAATTGTTGCTTCATCTTCAGGCGAGGATATTAATGGAGCCTGGGTTTGTTGCACCTGATGAGAACACTCAGCAGTACGAACAGAACCCGTTATTTCAGGAACATACTGCTCCACCAGCTGAAGTTGTTCCTGAGATGGACAGCTCATCTGAAGGACTGCGAAACAAAAGGCAAGGTATAGTTAGTAGAGAAGAATCATTTAGGGAGATTTGTGAGTACAACATTCAAGACTCATTAGATGACATTGATAAGGAAACAAGTATTCAGGATGGAGATACTTCTTGTCTTGCAACTGGCACGGCAAGTGACATAGGAGATGATACGCTAAAGAGTTACTGTTCATATGAGGTTGAGGATGCTGAAAATGAAAGACGTGGTGCACTCACTTCATGTGTTGGAACACGGTGGTTCCGGGCTCCTGAACTACTCTATGGATCCACAGACTATGGCCTGGAGGTTGATCTGTGGTCTTTGGGCTGTATTTTTGCTGAGCTTTTGACCCTTGCACCCCTTTTCCCAGGCACTTCTGATATAGATCAGATTAGCAGAATTATTAGTGTCTTGGGAAACTTGACTGAGGAAGTGTGGCCTGGCTGTCTAAAACTTTCTGATTACGGAACAATTTCTTTTGCCAAGGTGGAAAATCCCACTGGCATAGAAGCCTGCCTCCCTAACTGTTCCCCTGATGAAATCTCTCTGGTCAAGAAGCTGGTCTGCTATGACCCAGCAGCCAGGGCAACAGCAATGGAATTGCTCCATGATGAGTACTTTAGCAAACAGCCTCTTCCGGTTCCCCTCTCTGATCTTCGGGTTCCTTTAACAAATAGTGGACAGGATGAGGATTCTCCTGGTGGGTGGCATGGCTACAATGATATGGAATCCGATTCTGATTTTGATGACTTTGGCCCAATGAGTGTCCACACCAGCTCTGGTGGTTTCTCCCTACAGTTTTCCTGAGCTCAAAGAGCACATGGTGCTTCACATTTTGAAATGAAATTCTGTTTTGTTGAATTATACAAATGAATGTTGTCCTAAATCAGTTGGACATCGTGTGATTTTGTTCCAAGTGTTACAAAAAATTTATTGTTCTTTGTAAAACCAACTCAGAGATTATCATATTATGTTCTCCTTTTTATGTTGCTCAGTATTTTGGTTCTATTTCAAAAGGATGTGTGGTAATTTGAAGCTTGAAGGAAGGAGGGTGCGTGCGATTTTATTTAGTCAGAAATGCAGAATTATGTATATTAGGCTTGACTTATTTAAATACATGGATGTCTCTTGGCATAGTAGTTTTTTCGCTTTAAACCATTTGGGAATAATAGCTTTGTTTTTAAGCCTTGAACTGTTCGGCAAAAATTAAAGAGAACACGAACAACGCGAGGAAAGTGCAAATTCGTTTTGCTTTCATGGAATGCGAAATCTGTAAAAACCAATAATTCTTGAAGTCAATGGAAGCTACTGCTGTTCATCATGACAGATGCTGACCTAATCTAGTGGTTGGAAATTTGATATTTTTGAATAAAAATTCTTTCTGATAATCACCGGCAACATACACCATTTGGTATCCAAAAATCTTTCTGCTAATCTTGACCAACATGCACTATGTGGTTATATTTTGCTGTGCTCTTATTCAGTCATCCATTTCTGTAGCATTCTAGCGGAACGCAGAAACATACATTTGCATTTTGAGACAGACTGGAATCCCTTCTACCGTGGTTCCTTGTGGCAGTAATTTCTATCACTAGTTTAGTTGGAAATCCTTGAAATTAGTACTTGCGCAGTTGGTTCTCTGAAACAGTTGTAGCAGTGCTAATTAAGATTTTAAGATTTGGGGCCTTAAAACAGATTGTTATGTGAAAATACGGGAAGGTTCTAATACTATATTATGTTTTGGTTGGAACCTCACAACAGCTTGACTGGCCTCATGTGCTACCATCCAAAAGAGAAGCATATATCTTGGCTTGGAGGTATGCCCGGAGCATAATAAAGTTTTGATAGAAAAATAAAAAAAAGATGGGGAAAGGGCTAATAAATGTGAATTTATCGACCATCTTATCCAGTACAATGGATCTTAATGCGCAATCTTCATCTTTTGATATGATAAAAACACGGGCATATGATTTAACTTCAAAAAGATAATAAAATAACCATACATATTTATGTCGTAAGTTTGAGAAGAAACTATTATTGTGGCTACAGAATCCCAAACCAAGCCAGTAGAACTTTGCACAAGCGCTTTCATGGTCGGTAGATTTGCAAACGAAAAATTCTTTGCCCCCTGCATGCGTAAATGCCCCAAAATATGTAGAAATTGATGCTAAAAGCTACTGACGAAAGCAGGATTCTTTCCATTACCCTCTCCCTCCCTTCCTCCCTGGAGGTTTGTTGCTTTCAGTATACTGTCACCCAACTGAGCTACCTTAGAAACTTATATCAGCAGCTTCACTCAACCATGATAACTTCTCCTGTTGGTGTTTCAAAAGAGTTCTAACCTCATTCAGGTGGAAGCAGGGCTATCTCAATTTCTTGGAGTGATTTTCCTTTGGTTTCCATGACATTCCTTCTCACAAAAACCACTGCCATCAAGCAAAAGGTAGCAAAGATGGTGTACAAGAGCTGTGGTCCAAGTTGCTCCAGCAAACGCAAGAACAGCAAACCAACGAAGAAATTTATTACCTGAATGAAGCATAGCAGTTATAATACTAAAGGTAAAAACATAACCTAGAAATGATGCACTACAATTCCAATTCCAAATTCACTCCTAAAAAAAGTTGATATTTGATCTGTCTAGTTTCATAAATATCACAAAATAATAATGATGATGATGATGATGATTTCAAAACTTCGTACTCAGCAGGATGCAGAAAAACAATTAAGTAGAAAACAATTACCCAGTGCACTGACATACAGACAGCCATAGCTTTTGCCCTGATTCGACTGGAGAAGATTTCTGGTAGGAGGAGGCCCGGAACTGGACCAGCTCCAACAGCAAAAGCGAAGACAAACCTGGACAGAGAAGTTCTCAATTATGAAACACATATTGGCATTCTCAATCCCATTGCTACATTCATCATCTGTTACCAATAGGTGGCATTTTATATCAGCCACTTGATGGTTGGGTCCGACTTCCTAGTTGTTGCCAGAACAAATCTGTGAGAAAGCATTTTCTTTCAAAGAACTAATAGATGTTCCATAACTGTTGCTTTACAGTTTTAACTCCTCCAGACTCGCAGAAAGGCAAGTGATAAAGGTTACTTGTGTAGTTGTATCATTGCTAGATATTTAAGTCGTGCATGCTCAAAGCTTATTTTGCAGGCTAGGTTAATTCATTTAGGTTCCAAAGCATTTCAACGGACGGCCAATTAAAAGAACTTTTTCTACACAACAAAATAATAATGATAATCATCATTTTCATAAATGAAAGCAACAGCAACATTGGTCAACATCGCATTTGATACCTTTCTATATGCATGCACTAACATTATCAAATTCATCTTCAAAATTTACAAGTAAAATGAGTACTCACATTAACATGCCACCAACAGATAGGTACAAAGTTCCAGAGCCCAACATATAAGAACTTGCTGCAACCACTTGAAGTCCCATAGATACTGCCTGCATTGGAAAAATGCACAACATGAAGGTTCGACTTCTTTGATTATAGGCTCAATTACTTTAAAAAGTAAGTTATGTGAAAAAAAAATCTATTGCTATACTTAATAAAAGACCAAAAAAAAAAAAAAAAAAAAAACCAAAATGTGTCCCCTGCCTTTATTCTAAAAAATTGATTTGATTAGGTGGTCACCGTTTCCCTTATTCTGACAGATCATACTTGTTTTCTGCTCGGAGAGTCTAATAGTGGGAAACCAAAAACATAAAAATCATCTATTGCTCCTTTCCTTTGCATAAATCACTACCAAATAGCAATACAGCATAGAAGGATGTAATTTCTACAAGTGAGATTACAAGTATATCTGATTAGCAGAGAGCAGATAAACTTCCTTTCCATTTCCCGTATGTAATAAATGCATACTAATTAGCTTCATTTTTGCGAACAAAAATAATACCTACAATGAAACCTTCTAAGGAAAATGATATGCAATTGTTCCCAAGGGGGCATCTTAGCAGTTAAGACCTAAAATTTCACTCTGAGGTCATGAGTTCAAACCATAGGAGGAAAGGAGTGGGGGTGGAGATGTAGGAACTGAAGGAGGGCCCCACCATAGAGGCCCAACTCCCATTGCTTCTCCTCATGAACCCCAAAAACAAATGATTAGCAATTAAAATTTACCATTCCAAAGAAGCTCCACAGAAGCAGCACCTTCCTTCCCAGTTTATCCATCAAAAACATTGCAGTAACAGATCCTGAAGGAAATCAGAACAAGGATTCAAGATTAAAAAGTTGCAAATATCCACATAGTAGAAAAAGTTAACAAAGAATGAAGTGGTACCTGATAAATTTGATATTCCAACAAAGACATTCGCTAGGTCTGATGGTACACCCGCACTTTTAAACACAGTTGAAGAGAAATAAAATATAGCGTTTATGCCAGATAGCTGTTGTAAAGCAAATAGTGTGGACCCAATAAAAACAACTGCAAAAGGAACATGTGAATAACAAAACCTAAAGAAAACATGAGGGAAGAAGAAGCAGAAGAGAAGAAATTTATGGCAGCAACAGCAGCTGTATATGCAAAAATGGAGAGTACACAAACTCACAAATTCAGTCGGAGCATACCCAAAAATAAAAATACCTATACCTCTAAAATGCCGACCACAAAGCAATTCTGAGACCTTGACAGCATCTGTTTCGTCCCCTCTGTCTAATTTGGATAACTCTTGCATTGCAAATTTCACATGTGCTCCACCTAAAAGTCTCTCAAACTCAGCTTCAGCTTCAGCAGTTCTTCCTTGCTGCATGTACCAATAAGAAACTGTGGGCATGTACCTTCCAATTTTTATTTATTTTTTAATCATGCACCTTCAAAGCGCTCATAAAAAAGCAGTTCCATTTGTGGATTTGACATCATGCTACTTTAGATGTGCCTACTTTGCAATATTTCTTTTTTTTTTAAAAAAAAAAGAGCTGTGCTATTATAGTAAAAAAACAAATAGAAGTGAAAAGATTGCTGGAAGCCTTGGAAATCTAAAAAGTCAGATGATAAACCCTAACTGATCAGAGAGAGAGAGAGAGAGAGAGAGAGGAGGAGGGGGGGGGTTGGGGGCATGGAACAGACGATAAAAAAATAACACGAAAGCAATAGAAGAAGTCAAGGGCATACAGAGTGATGAAGTTCAGCTTATAGAAATCAATTCAAATAATTTTCAACGAATCAAGACATATTTTCCTCTCCAATAGGTGATATATAAATCGATGTAATTACATCTACTGCCAACAAAGAAGATGTGAATGGTAGCAAACCTTGTACAGCCAATAAGGACTCTCTGCACAAAACATCATGGAAAGAGCAAGTATTCCAGCAGGAACTGTAGATAACCAAAAACAAACACGCCACCTGGCATTTACATCATGAAAAGTCTGCTTCAAATGTTCAATGTTCAATGTTCAATGCGAATCACACATCACAGGTTTAAATTCATCTTCCTTACCAGCCTGCTATTTCTCTGACAGGGATTCCAATAAATAGTGCTCCCATAAGTCCAAGACATGTTGCAATCTGGACGAAACTTCCATAAGTGCCCCTCACAAAGGAAGGAGAAACCTGGTTTCCAATAGACAATCCCAGATAAAAACATCAAACCTTCATTTACTGACGTAGGAATGGACCAAAACATGACATCGACGTAGCAGAAATAAAATAATTTCCATACCTCTGTCACATAGAGAGATGCAACAGGAGGACCAAGGCCCATTCCAGTTCCCACTAATAACCTTCCTAAAAGCATACCAGCCAAAGTTTTGGTTGTTGCACTGAAAATGCAAGTCATTTATTCAGATATAAACACAAACATGGACATTCAGAACAGATGGGAGAGTTAATAAACATGCTAAGGCCTTGTCTTTTTTTCTGGAATGGAATTTCTATGCAAATTGAAAGAGGCTGCAAGTATAGCAGTTCAAAGCAGATATTGATTATGATCCATAAGCAAGTAATGACAGTCTAATACAGTTTGTTCAAGTTGTGGATGCAGTTAGTGATAGAGAATAATGCATTTTATATGCATTTGTTCCATTCTGCAGGAATTTTACCTTATAGAAGCACCAATAATCATGGGCAGAGCACACAACTGAAAAGCCCTACGACGACCAATCCCATCAGCGATCCAACCACTGAATAAAGATCCGATCAATGCACCACCCAGACATGTGCTAACCACAAGGCCTTCATTTGATATCAATTGTTAGTCAAAGATCTAGATGACAAAACAGGCATCGGATTACAGCAAAAAAGAAAGAAAGAAAATCCATTATGTGTCACCTTCGGCCAAAGTATTTCCATTGAATCCGAGATCCAAAGAAATGCTCTCAAGTGGTTCATTTACCACACTGCAAGGACAAGCAAGTATCGAAATCATAATTGCCATTCCATTATAATCTACCAGTAGCAAGTAAGACAAACTAAATAAGGGGAAAAAAAAAAGTAAAAGAAAGTGCACAAACCCAAGATGGTAGCCAAATAGGAAGGATGAAATGGTTGCGACTAGTACATGTGGTAATGAGAGCCTCCATGAAGGATTTGTAGTTTCTTGATCCAGAATGTTCTGTGAAACAGCTAGAAGAATGTATACAAATTAAGCTCAAAGAACATTACCTCAAATAGATTCATACACAATTAAAAAAAAAAAAAATCATAACACGAACTGCAAATATTCCATACGGTTGAATTGAAAGAAAGACACAAAATTTTATATTTATTGATGCCACAAAAAAAAAAAAAAAAAAAAATTAAGCACCAAATCTGCTATTGCTTCGGATTTGTTTTCAGAATAAAACTAAGAGGCAATAAATTCACTAGAGCAGCCAAAAGCACTTGACATAAACTACAATTTAACAAAATATTGGTTTGGTCAATTTCACCACTGCAGGTGTTAAGAATAATAGAAATGCAACAAGATATTTAACTTGGGATGATTGGTACGTGGACTTACCTGAATTATCCTCTACATCAGCTACAACTGAGTAATCTCTAGATGACATTCTCTTGTATATAGAGAGAACTTCTCGTTGACGTTCCCACATACCAAAAATTGCAGCCAGCTTACCTTCCATAATCACCAAATTTAGAGAGATTAAAGCAACAGAATTAAAATAATCATCAACAATCAATTACCAAATCAAATCAACGAACTGGATTTCTATTACAACAGTTTCTTTGGGGAAAAAAAAGAAAAAAAGAGAGACGCTCAATTTGAAGACAATTCAATTCATTAATGGCACAGAATGAAACATAATCACGTCTCTGTTAAAATGGATCCAATTTTTTTTTTTTTTCAGCACAATCAGCCAATTAAATGCATTTAAATCAAATCAAAGTATATTTAAAAAAGAGTATGAAGTGCACCGTTAATAAATCTAGAAGTAAATCGGAAATCTTCTAACATGCACAGTCAAAAACCTTCATCCATCATTTTCACTACTCTACAAAGCTTATGCAGTTAGCATGATTGCTGAAGAAATTAAGTAAGGGAAAAATCTTCCATTATTTAATTAATAATTAATTAATCAAGTGAGCATCAAGCTAACTTATTCTTTTTCATTCCACAACTACCTCTTTCTAAGCAACCAAACAAGATGACGAAAGAATAAAAAGAAACAGAGAGAAACAAAAATAACACGAAATAAAATGATCAGATACCAAAAAATGAAGATAATACTATCATTACCTTGATTGTTAGTGCTCAGAGTTATGTTTCGATCTTCCAGAAAGTTAAATCAGAAGAGTTCTTTTCTTTCCGCGTCTCTCGAGTTACGATGAAGAGAACAAGAAACTTCCAGATAGAAAACAAAATTATACTGCTTAAACAGTAAAAAGGGCTGTGCGTGCTATCGTGCGCTGGGAGTGGAGTGATTCGGTTTAACGAGTTACGCTTCACAATGAGAAAACAGAGCAACACCATTACTTCAATCGTTTTCTACTGCACTTTTTAACCACCAGAATTAATAATTAAAAATTAATTAGATTTCGCTTCGCTGGCGTAAGAGAAATGCTGGTGTTTATTTTCAAATACAAGAAGAATATTTTTTGAGTTAATCTGCATTTAATTAAGAATATTTGTTTTTTTCAAACAATTAAAAAAATTATATTTTTTTATAATAATGTGATGTATTTAGAAAATGTTAATAAATTTATCTATAATTCTCAAATTTAAAGTCACGAAAGAAAAACCTCCTTAACATCTTGATGTGACAGATGTGTTTTTTTGTATACCAAATCTTGGCTTTTTATAATTTAATATTTATACGTGGCTTGATGGTCTGATGTATACTTGCGACGGTTAAAGGACGGAAGGTTTTGTTGCGTAGTAGGAACTTCAGGAGGGTGGTTTAGTCATTGGAGAATATTCGCGCCGCATGATTGCGGCTTTCATCACGACACGTGGTGCTTGTGCACGTGTATCGCTATGGAGGTATGCAGCGGTAATCCAGTAATCTCAACTTCTGGAAGACTGTCAGAGCCTGTTGGCATCTTTTGAAGTTTAAGGTAACCAGATCTTCACGTCTCTAGTTGTGTGCAATCCAACCAACCTCTTTGGTGGCACTTCCTTTTCGGCTTTTTACAGAGTTTTTGGACCCTTTTTTTCCCAAAAAAAAAAAAAAAATGATGTAAAAAAATATTTGATAAAACTTTAATGTAAATTAAAAAATGAACAAAGCTGTATTTTTTTTTTTATTGTTGTTTTAGCTTGCATGCTATTGCATAAATACCGTCGTTTTATTACATGCCCATTTACAAGTTGATTTAAATTATTTAACCAACTCTGATTAGGTTCAAATCAGTGTAAATTAATATTGATAAAAATCGATTCTATTGCAAAAAATCACATAAAAGAAGAAATGAAAGAATAAAAATATTAGCAACTAGTCGATTAATTGCTTGTTTATTTTTGTAGGGATAGATATCAATTTTTTTAAAAAAAACAAAAATTAGATATATAGACAACCATGTACATTTAAAGAAATTCATACCATATTTTTATCAACGTCAAAATTTAGAACTATTACCGATGAAACTAATCAAATGCAAAAATATTATCTTTCTTATTAGATGGTGTTTCGTGATGAGACTCGAAGAGCAAGATCTACTTACCACTTGAGCCACTTCTTGTATATATTGTGGACATGAGCTATCTTCTAAATATATACTAAAGAGATTAAAGTGATTCATACATGATAGAGAATACTATGTAGAGATCATAGGGATCGTAACCGAAATCCCATAATCCAAGCCTACAATCACATATAGGAGTTATCACCTTCCTAGAATAGTTTTTTCTCTATACATAATATATAATCTCTTGTATTCTAGAAGTAAAGCAAATAAGATATATACGAGTTTAACATGGTGTCAAAACAGTACTCTTAGGCTTGTAGTATAATGATCGATACTTGTTAAAATAGAAATTAAATAAAAATTTAATATTAAAACCTATGTGAAAAATATCTTAAGAATGATAAATAATTATTGAAAACTAGGAGAGATATTTAGAATGGTTAAAATAGTTTTTCCATACTTAAAAAATATTTTAGTGATTTTCGATGTGTGAATAGTAGTTTTTGTATGAAATAATTAATTAAAATATGTTATTTGTGCATGAAAAATATTTTATTTACCTAAAATATTTTGTTAGAGAGGTGTTAGATTATTTTATGTGATTTTATGAATTTTTCTGTGTTTTCAATATTTTATTGAATTTCCTATGTGTAGGAATAGTGTTTTTAGAGATAAAGGATTAAATTAGGTATCTTAGAAATATGAGAAATTTTTTTAAGGGAATGGAAAAATCATATGGGAGGTGTAGGAATACTTAGTAAATTTAAATTAATTTTATTAAGTACAAGGAATATTTTCTATAAGAAATAGGCAAATTTTCATGCTAAATAATTAATTTAGAGGCTTAAATGAGATCCAAAAATTATGAAAATTTAGGTTAAATCCTATTTATGAATGTTTGAATTTATTCTGAAAATAAATTGAATTTTTGAATATTATAGAATGAAATTTTAAAACTAAGGACTAAATTACTTAAAAATAGGGACTAGATTGCATAAAATTAAAAGTCTAATAATCCAAATTAAATTAAGTAGGAATTTTAAGTCAAAATTAGTCCTAGACGCTGAAAAGGGAGGATTTGAAGTGAATTTTTTCATAAAAGAGGGATTTATGAAAGAATAGGCTATGGAAAAGTCTAGAAACTTGAAGGACCATCCCTCAAATTTAGCCAATTGGAGGCGATTAATGAGGTCGACCTACGAGTAAACATTTTGGCCAAAAATAAGGAAGGTGGAAGAGTTAAGTAAAAAGGTGAATAAATGGCCAAAAATTGGGACAAATGCAAATGAATAATTAGAAAATGAATTAAGGGTTGAGATTCACCCAAATTAAGCGTAGAGATCAAGTCAAAAAGCCCACAAACTCTCCCTATAAATAGGATTACTAAAAAAACTAAAAATGGCAAGAAAATAGAAAAACCCAAACAAAACTCTTGTAAAATTTCCACTTGAAAATCACCCAAAACATTTTTAATAAATTCTAAGCACCTCTAATCGAGTGGAAGAAGTTTGAATTTTTAGTGGGAAGCCGAAACTCTAAAGGAAAAAATTTGAAGATCAAATTCAAAATTTAGAAGAAAAGAGGAGGAAGAGAAATTCTTCAACAACCTAGCGTTTTAAGATTTAATTGGAGCTCAAACAAGTAAGTTAACTTCACTTACACCACAAGAAAGTTCAATTTCATGCTTATTTGATGTTTGATTGCTTTAATTTTTATTTAATTGCATGAAATGTGAAAAATTAAGGTTAGGGTTCTTGATGACCAAAAATTTGGGGAAAATAAAATTTAACCTATAATTCATGTAATTGGGGCTAAATTATGTTAATAAGGCTTGGAAATGAAGTGTAAAACTTAAAAATTTCTAGGTTTATTCAAGGAGGAATATTCGACCTAATATGTCAATTTAGGGATTTTCAATCCTTTCATGTAATTGATGTTTTAGAATTGAATATTACTTAATTAGGCTTGAATTAATGTTTAGGAATAAGAAATTTCGTTTTGTGTAAAGAAAAATCCCCTAATTTAAGGGGATTATATTCGACCTAAACTAAGAAAATTAGAATTTGAGTTTCAAGCCATTTGATTCTAATTTGATGGGTCACACACACTTTAATAAGTATTTTTTGATGAGTGGAAGTGAAAAATTCACCAAAAAATTGAAGAAAATGGGTTTTATGGGCTTGGGCTCAATTTCGACTCATTAAGGCCTAATACGGGTTTAAGCGAGGATTTCGGGTCCCAAATTTCAGTTAAATTGATTCTTATAGTTAGCACATATTGAGGTACATAGTGTTAAAATGGTAAGACAAAATGAGGAGAAAATATTAGGATCCTAAAGAGGTCAAGTTTAGGCCTAAATAGGAACTTTGGGGAGTTAGGTTTAAATCAAGTTCTAAACCTAAAATTGGGTAATTCAAGCCCAAAAAAATGTATAAGGATGGGTTAGAATAAAACAGTTCATAAAAGTCTAAAGAAACATTGAGGTAGGAAAAATTTAGCCTTAGGCCCATTAAGGCCCAAGCCGAAATTCAACCCCAAGATCAATGAAAGAATACCTAACTAGGTTAGGACATGAATTAGCATTCAATTTAGCAAAGACTAAATGTGAAAGAATGGTTAGGAACCTAAGAAAATAATGTAGGAAAATTAAAGTGCAAAATAAGCTTAATGAAAACAAAAATGGAATGTAATTGTTTACTTATTCTTTATGTCATGATTGTGTTCTCTTTCAAATAATATATGTGATGCATTGAATTATGGATAATGGTTATGATGACTCGGTGTTGAGAATTATGTTTGTGATAATTGATATGTCAATGATGGATGCACTCGGTTTATGGGGGTTGATGTTAACTATTCCATTATGCCGCCCAATTTTATATTAATTCCTATGATTGAGTTGCATGACCATTCAAGGTACATGTTCATGAATTCCTATAGCATGCTAGTTCATTGCAAATGCATATAAATGCTTAGCTCATGAACAATATTTTAAGTC